GCTCTTACTCAATTTCTTCAATCGATTCATCGTTGGATCCCTCGAAACCCCTTCCAGAAAACGTCGTAATGGTATGGGGTCCGTCCACGACCCCATTGAGCACGACCAGTACACCATGTTTTCAGTGCTAATTTTTCCGATTTCGTCCACCTTGAAGGGCAATATGAAGTTTATTTTATGAAATGGAATGTGCTCTTTCATTTTAACTTGAGACCATTCGGTTCGAATTTAGCAGAGTGTGATTAAATCGGTTTGAATGTGGAGACAGAATGTCTTTTTTTATTGCCCCCCCCCCCTTGTGTAAACAGTGCTGTAGTTCTGTGATACAGTACTGGTAATTTAAACGTTACTGGGTTTATGTCATTTCTGACGGTGCTCTCTCAGCCGGAAACGACATCGCGAACACAAGCAGCCAAATAGGTCCATAGAGATAAAGCATTTGATGATCAAGCTTGATTTTCATCCCAGAGTTACCAAGTGATTGTTTGGCAGAGAATTTGTGAATCTTAAAAGATTTCGGTTGGGCTTGTCCCTTGTTTACTTTTGTTATTTTCGTCAACATGTTTTTTAGGATGTCCAATGAGCGATGCCGCTTTCCTCCATTTGGGAACCTCTTCTTCGAACTCTCCATGTATAAAATTTGCACGATTTTATATGTCGCTCAACTTCTGCAAAAGCATTCACTTCTTTCTACAATAAGTGTTAACTTGTTGAATTGCTGGGTCGCGGACTGGGAGGTCCAGTCGACAGAAATTGGCCAGTCAGCTCTTATTCAGTCAATACTTCTTCTGGACATACCGCTATTAAATTGTTACAAACGCCTTATCTTTTTTCTGAATGAATTTGTTTTTCTGGTTGACTGCCAAGAACAAATGGTTCTTTGAATTGAATTTAACGACCCCAGATGAGGCCATGTCGAACAATCTTTTCTGTGGGTAAGATAAAGTAACCCGTTGGTGTCGTAGCCGTGTCGTTGCGGAGGCTCAAAAGTGCGAGCGTCATCCGTGCCTGGGCCTTACAGGGGATAATGACGGTCAATGTGAGCTAGTGGACGAGATACTCTGCGCATACTCCATGATCCGCACAACTCGTGGACTACATCGTAGCAGCTAATTTACATACAGGCGAATTAGGGAGTCATGGAGCAAGGAATTTCAGACAACTCGTCCGGACACACCCCTCTCAATTTGGAGGGAAGGGAAGGGAGTCTTCGTTCAAGGACTTCATCGGCTGTTTGCTCTGCTCTTTTTTCATTTCCAGATATTCGGCATCCACCATTTTTTAGCGACCGCTGGTACCTTACCAATTTGGTCTGTGGTTGTTGCTTCAACGCATTGTTTGTAACACATGCAAACGAGCCCTTAGCCGATTGCCGGCCCGTTCATTGTCGGAGGTCAACGGGCAAAAGATGAGTCCTATTTTACGAGTTCTTGATGAATTTCTTTGCTTTCTTTAGGGTGTCCCCCAT